TGTCATCGATTTTGTTATCAATTTTTTCATCGGTTATTTATCGATTATTTAGCGATTTTGTTAGCGATTATTTATTGATTTTGTTATCGATATTTCTATCGAATTTGTTATCAATATTTTTATTGATTTTCTAATCGATTTTTCTACCAATATTATTATCAATTTTGCTATCGAAATTTGTCATCGATTTTGTTATCGGTTTTGTTATCGATATTTTGTTGGATGTTATTATCGATATGTAACGTAACCCTGCAGTAAATTTTAGAGACAGTCTGACAAAGCGCTAGAAGACCTACTCAACCATCGTTGGTCGCGAGTTCAAATGGCGGTGGAGGCAGTTATGTGTTTTCAAATTTAATGAATTTAAATTGTTGCGTGCAGCTTACAATATTTTTTTTTTTAATAAAATATGTAACAAAAACGGAATCTGTAAAAGAAAAAAAACGTTTTCTTGTAAAAAAATGTAATGTCCAAAATGGAACCGGTTAAAAACTGGTTACAAAGTAATGCATTAGGTGACAATTGCCACCGCCAATGACATCGCCGTATAAAACTGGACAGTTGAAAGCATTGCCTGGGTATTGACCTGGTACTGTCTGCAAAAGGTCTAGTTCTACCCTAGTTCTAGGCTAGTCAGATTTTCTGCAGGGAAGTTTCACTTCTCCAGTGTTGCCCAGGCGCACTTACTTTTTTATTTTCTATTTCATATGATTTAAAATGCTTGCAAACGTCAGAGTTTTTAGAAACTTTTTGGCTATGCCGTTGTGTAGTTTATTAATTTTTAGTGTAAACAATTTTAGTGTAACAATGTGCAGGTATGAAAATTCGGAAAAAGCCCGTTGATTTTGGATAATTTTTTTGTTGACAGTATTAAAGTATCTTAACATATAAACATAACGTCGATGTTTTTGCAAAACCGCCCATCGTTCAATTGCAAAACCGCCTATCTTACGGCACTCAAATTTTACAAGAGAGCGAAAAAAAAACAGTTTATTTTCTTCCATACAGAGTATTCTTTGAAGGTATTGCCTTGATAGGCGGAATTTAAATATATTTAAACTTAATATTTTATTAAAAATACCTCTTTTCCTTGCTAGCGTCCATTTTTGTTTATTTTTACATTTTCTCTTCTTCGCAAAAATATTCGATAAAACTAGTTTGGACACCGAAAAGTTATCGGTCTCTAATCCATTTCCATCCTTTAATAAAGTAAGCAGTAAGGATTGCTAAAGTAAATACAAAAGATTTGACAAGGATTAGAGACATAAACCACTTAACAGTAATAACAGTTTTTATTTTTTGAATTTTGCATTGTGTCGTTGATTGCCCAGGAAAAATCGAAGAGCTACGCAAGCTTTAAGGAGCGGAGGTATTGAAGTTGAACAAAGTCGTCCCTCTTTGTATTAACCATCATGCTACAGCTTCTTTTGGAAGTTTGGAATATGCTTTGAAACTGAACACAAACAGATAATAAATGAAAAGCCTTCAAAGCATTAACTTTTGCTTACAGTGCAATCAGTAGCGCCAGGATTGGAATTATCCCTTAAATGTCGCCTGATTGAAGCTGCGTTCATGCGGTGTTCTCTCTCTTCAAAAAATAGTTCACTGAGCTTGGAATTATTGCAGACTTTTATTTAAAACTATTTATTTTACTAGCACTGCTTGTTTACAACCCCTTGCTGGTTGCCGTACTGTCAAATTTCGATTATCGATAACTCTACAGCAACTGACGATAGTTGCGTTGCCAGCTGGCAACCGAACCGTGGTTGCTTTGCTATCCGTAATCGACCCATAAATACATACTTGCTTTCTGCACGATCACCAATACAAATGTGATCACAAATGCGAATACGAATAACACGAACCCTAACAACAATACAAATGGAAATTCTTACATTTAGTTATTTTTCACTTAAAGCTCTACGAATGCCAAATGCACTCCCAATTAAAAAAAAAAAGTTCTTTTATTGTTGAGTTAAGACAAGGCGCCATGGTATTCCGAAAAAAAAACCTCCAATTTTCCAAAAGAAAAAGCTGAGCCAAAATTCTAATAAAGTGATCGCGACAACGTAAACCATACAACTCAAAGTTTCAAACCTTGTACAAGATCAAAAATTCAAAATATTTTACCAGAAAATCTAGAAAAACTTTGGGTATGCAGTTTTATAGCCCATTCAATTTTAATATAATACTAGAATGCTACATTAGGTGTAATTATTTTCATCAACATACATAATCCATGCCAAAAACGAGAGATTAAATATTTTTTTAACCATATTCAAATTATTTTCAAACTAAGCCTCCCTATTGTGATGCTTTTTTAATTAACTTGTATCCCGAATTCAAATATACATACATATATAGATTAAAAAAGGGGACAAGGGATTAGAAATTAAGCCCTTCTAAAACCATTTCATTACCCGTTGTAATACTTCATTGAAATAATTGAATAGTTTGAATTTTAATTTCTGAACCTAAACCTTTTTCGTCTTGTAATACATACAAATGCATTCAAATTAAAATTACCTAATTCCTATAATTCAAGTTGAATTTGAATTTTCAAATATGTGGAAAAACTGCTATACTTTTGCATGGTACAATTAAAACAGGCAGAAGCCAATTTGACGTCAAACTTACAAAAGTCAAAGTTTTCGTGAGTACAAATAAAAATGAGCGTGTGCAAGGAAAAATAATAAAATACATTTCACTAGTTGACATTTTTAAGTAAATTTGAAGTTTATTTTCATTTAAAATAAATATTTTCTTTAGTTAAGATTTGTTAGCTTGTATGTTGTTTTCTGTTTTTCATTTATGAGTGGCAGTGTTGTTGGAGGTACTTTTCGGCATACGGGTCATAGGAACAGCACTTGGCATCAAACGTGCCTTTCCTGTACATCCCGGTTATTTGTGAAATCTGCTCCTTTCTATTGTTTAACGCAAAACAAGGACATTGAGGCACGTTAATGTTAATTAAAATTTGTTATTAACGAACATTCAAAAAACAACGATATGGCATTCAAAGCGTAACGAAATATAGGAAAAAAAAGGAAAAAAGAAGTTGAAGTTTAAAGGTTTGGTTCTCATGAAAGCAACGTCGTTTGGCTTCTACCTGTATTTATGTGCCTTGATACTTATGTAGCTTGGAAATAAAGACTTCAAGACTTTCGGCTAATACCTATGTATATTGTATTGTATATTATAATATAATTGAAATTGAATTTATTTTTTAAACAGGTGGCAACCCTCTTCAAATACCTCAGAAGTTTCTACATGTTCAAGCTAAACATTTCTAAACACTCTTACGTTTGACACTTTTATTTGAGTATAATTAGTTAAAATTCGACTTTTAAAACAGGTGGCAACGCTCTCCAAAACATTTTACAACCAAAACCTTGTTAAACCCTTTTAGTCTGACACCCATACTGTGATACATATTCCAATTACCTAATTCCTCAGAAAGCCGTATAAAAAAGTCCGCATAAAAAAGTTCTTTACTTTCATACAAAAACAACAGGGGATGCGTTCCAGCATTTTCAAAAACCGCATAAATTCGGATACTCCATATAAAACATTCTAAAAAACCGCATAAAAAAATCCAGTGAGACAATATTAAGCAAACAAAAATGTATTTCTTCACTTCAACACTTATGCCGAATTTCCACTAGGCATTGAAATTACAAAAAATGTATGCCATTTAAAAAATACCATGTGGAAATGAACTTAATTTTTGCCATTTAATGCCTAGTGGCATATAAATGGAATTTATCTGTATTTTAACCAAAAACAAAAAAACAAATACCACAATAAATACATGAATTATGTAAGAATAGAAAGACATATTAATTACACACCGAAAAAAAGTAATAAGAACTCTCAAAAAAAGCAAAATCGCTAATGCGAAAAAATCGTTTGAAAAACCGCATAAAAGGAGACCTAAGTGTACATATCCCCATACCAAGTGTCAGTACTCTATCACAAATATTTCCTGCGATATACAGTATGAACAATTTTGTTTGTATGGATGGTGCCACGCCCCCTTTTACAATCGAGATTAAATCTCCTATATTTTAAGTTGGGCTAAATAACACCAGAGTACAAAATTGCATGATGATCGGTTGAGTAGTTAAAGCATGAAAGCGTAATAAACAAACAAACTCACTTTCGGATTTATAATATTAGTAAGGATAAGGATTGTTTTCAAGCGGCTAGAAATTCGAGTTATTTTTGCGATTTTTTTTTTGCTGACGTGTTGCCCACTTTCTCCCATATACAAATTGAACGTAGTATAAACTATATTTTTATAAAATAATAAATGATCAAAACTTATAAAGAAGTAGTGTTCCTAATTATGTGGACACCACTGTATTTTATTTTCGTATCTAATATTTTTAAATTTCATATGAGTACTTTTTATCGCGTAGACAGCTTTAATCGACTTATAATTTTTTTTCAGATACCCGAGTACTTTTTGAGTAACGTTTTGGACAATCATGATGTTGGTCGTATTATATTTCTCGGTGGCAATGAACTGAATTGCGACTGCAATTCAGCTAAAACGTTAAAGGTATATATGTATAATATGCTTATTTCATATCAAATTTTTTCGATCTTAGTACTTTTTTTTCTCTCAATTGTAGTACTGGCTGCTAGAGCACAACCGTGATATCCCTGATTACAATAACATACGCTGCCGCAATATACCACAAAGAGTAATGGAGCTGCGCGAAATGAAGCTTTGCCAGTCGCCACACGACTGGACCGATTACATTTATTATTTGATTGCCACTGAAGTTATTTTGTTGATAGCTTTAATCACAAAAGTATCTTACGATTATTGGGTATTCAAAACAGCTGGATATTTGCCATGGCCGGCTAGTAAAATGCCGAAACTACCTTGTGATTGGCTATGCGAATCCTAATTCGTGAAATCAATGGCAGGAAAAGTAATAGCCAGAAAGACATACAATTTAGTATATACATATTGCAAGGATCATTACATATATTTTTAAAACGGTCATCAACCATTTATTTATACCCACTATTATTTTAGACTAGTTAGTTTTGTAACAAAACATTACGAAATCAATGTGCCTATACTAGCTGTGTAAACTTTCAAAATTAACAATTAAAAAGTGCCTATTAATATTGTATTATTGTCCTCGTAAAAAAATAAAGGACAAAACTAATGACAAATATTTCATACAAATTTATGTCCATATACTGGCAAATTTTTGTATTAAAAAAATATATATATTGAAATTATGAATTTAAACTCTATACTTTATTGTAAACCAAACATGTTTTACTGTTTTTTATTTAATTTCTTTTCCGCAGCGGCGGCTTGACTACTGAAGGCGTTCTAGACTTTTTTCTCAGCCCATGTTCATCGGAACCAGCGTTGGCCTTACGTTTCTTTGCTGGTGGTTTGGCACTTTTTGCGTCTTTATCTTTGTTATTTTCTGCGTTCTTTGATATTAGTGTGGATATGCTCTCGCGCTTGGGAGCGTGGTCCGCTAGCCATTTCCTTTCTGACTTCCGAGGTTTTTTCATATCCAATATGAAATCAGGCACTTTGCCATTGGAGTCCTTTATGAGTTTCGCAATGCTTTAATGAAGAAAATAAATGAATACACTTTTGTTGTTTACAAACACCATGTGAAATACTTACCTTTTTAGATTCGGAGTATCACTCTGGGTGAAGAATGTTATAGCTTTGCCATTCCTTCCTGCACGACCTGTTCGGCCAATGCGGTGAATATAGGAAATAACAGAGGGCGGAAAATCATAGTTTATTACAAGATTAACCCCTTTAAAATCAATACCACGTCCCATTAATTCCGTACATATCAGAACCCATATATGGCCTTCCCGAAACGCTCGTACACAATTATCACGCTGTTGTTGTGAACGGTCTGCATGTATAAGATCAACATTGATACCATCATAAAGTAGCTCTTGAAATAGCTCTTTTGCTCGCTCCTAAAAACAGTATTGCAATCTAATATATTTATTATTTTCGTATACTGAATTTCTTCACTCACTTTGCTTTGTACAAAGACCAAAACTGGAGGTTTTAATCCTTTGCGCACCATATCTCGCATAGCTAACAATTTGCCACTTTCAGAACCAACAAAGAGCAACTCTTGTTCCACCGAATCCGTTGCACTGTTTTCTTGACCAATTATTATTCGTGCTAAATTAGGAAGATTCTTTATAGCCCATTTGGCCACGGAGGGAGTGTATGTTGCACTGAATAATGCCAGCTTTTTACGTTTATTCGTACACGCCGCTAAAATGACATCTACCTGGTCTTTAAAATTATTCATACCCTCCTCCATTAAGCGATCGGCTTCGTCGATAACCAGCCATTCGACTCTTTAATTAAAAGTATGTAAAACAACCATAAGTACATGTCAATGGTTCTCTGCAATAACGACACAATTCCAAATTCAAAATATAAAATCCCTTACTACTGGTAAGTGGCTCATGCCTGTAAGGATCTAAGGATCTAATCCATGACTTACTAAAGTAAGTAGTTCGGATTACTACAGTAAGTAGTATTAGACAAGGATTAGAGATATGAGCTACTTAACAGTTGGTTGAAGTGGCGAGTTTAACAACTCCAATTAGCACTTATGCATGGTGTTTTAAAACCACAGCCACTTAACAGTAGTAAGTCCTTATTTTTCACCTCGCTTTTATTAGCTCGGGATGTAACTATGTAATATTGATGCGCCTAAAATTTTTAAAGTAAAGTAAAGGAAGTTGTAATAGCGAGGTTTTAGTTTTTTAAACTATAATTTTATTTTTGCATTTTGAATGGTGTCGTTATTACAGAGGGCCATCGATATACAGTGGCGGTCAAAAATGGATGAATGGTGTTTCGTTTTTAATATTTACAACGTTTTTCAAGCTAAATTTTTTTTGTAATTTTTTTATTAAATATGCTTCTTTCTTGTTTAAATTTAAGTATAAAGTACTGACGACTGACATTTTGATAAAGTTACACCTAATTGAGTTATTACAAAATACGATAAAAATGCCAGATTACTTTTATATGAAAAACATCTGAGTTATTCCCTCTGTCACGGATACAAAAAAAAACCTGCTTTTGCGAGGAAATATATTTTACGAAAACTGCGAATTTATTTCATTTTTCTGTGTGAACATGATGTCCTATAATAAAACAAAGAACCACGAATGTAAACAAAGGAAAAAGTACAAACAAAAGGCAGGCTTTATTATAAAAAAAAAAATACGAAATTCCTGTCACGGGTGGGACAATATTTGTCACGGGTGGGACACGTACGAATTTTTATATGAAAAGGAGCTTTTAGTGTGGTCCATATTAAAGATTATTTATTAAAAAATATAAGAAACCAAGTAGGGGTTCAATTCTCTCACGTTTTATCTCAGTATAGTGCCTTTATATAGAAGAAAAAGCCTAGATCCGACAGCCAAAAAAAAATTTTTTTAAATCAACGCGATCTCCTATCGTCTCGAAATTTTTACTTTATGAGCAAAAAGTTTAAAATTTTTGGGTGTAACTGTTAAAATTTGTTGAAATTTATAATTTTTGTACGAACTTTGAAACTTGGATTTATGTGGTTTTGGTTATGTAATGTGCTAGACTTTTATAAAAAAAAGCAGGGGTGGTTTTATCCCTATTTCATACATCTTCGATAAACGTATATAGTTATATGTATGTGCGCCATATCACGCTCCTTTTCCAAAATTCTTTTATAATGTTACTTCTTTTCACGGGATTGGTCTTGGTTTCAATTTTGAGTAAATTAGCGTCCTTAAATTTCGAAATATCCAAGTTTCAGGAATATCTGAAATTTACCGTTATATGAAAAGTGGGAGTAATTTTAGCGCGATTTCGATAATTTGTCTCGTTGTGCTTTTATTTGATAAGCGAAATAATCGTACAAAGCTTGGTACAAATTGATCGAACGGTTACCGAGATATGCATACCTGGCCATAAGTGGGCAGTACCACGCCCATTTTCTAAAATTTTATCATAAACGTGTTTTTTGTTAAAGAATTATTGCACACATCAATTTTGAATAAATTAGCTTCTGTATTTACTGATTTATCGATGATTTCGTATTTCTCTAAATTACCGTTATATGGGATGTGGACGTGGTTATTGTCCGAATTTAAAAATTTTCAGCCGTTTGATATGTTGTACTAAGGCTAACAACTGTGCCAAGTTTGGGAAAAATTGGTGTAGCGGTTACCAAGATATACACATGTAATCATAATTCTCTCTTCATTCTGATCATTTATATATACAATTGTCTATATCTATCTGGATTCGTTTTGGCTGCTACAAACAAGCGCTATGTGAACAATGTTATAAAACCTTTGTGCACTAGGGTATAAAAACGAAACACCATTCCTCCGCTTTGACTGCCTCTGTATATGTACATACATACATACATATAAATTATGTTGGATTTTGCAAATGGAAATTTTTTGGTAATACATTTTTGGTTAAAAGGACTCACCCTGCTAGTTGTAGCGCTGGTGGCTCTTGCTCCAACAGAAAACGTACCCGATTTGGTGTTGATATCAGTATGTCATACTTCTTATTGCTATGACCCGCAGCAGAATTATTATTTGGTTGTTTAGTCTGAAAGTGAATTTTCAAAGCTGTATGTTGTGCTAGTTGCACACATTCCCTATAAATTTGTGCCGCCAATTCACGTGTAGGCGCCAAAACAACAGCACGAAAGCCAACTTTGCTTGGCTTGCGCAAATCATTGATTAAGGGCGCCAAAAAGGCGATGGTTTTGCCGGAACCAGTAGGCGCAGAAGCCATCACATTGCGACCCTGTAACAGAAGGGGCATAGCCTGCATCTGAATGGGGGTTGGAGACCTATATGAAGCAGAAGCAAGATTTTGTAAAAGACGATCAGACATATTATATTCCTTCAGCAATTCTTCAAACGAGGTCATAGGTGGGGGTATGTTTTTTCCACGCACTTTTATTAAATTTTCCTTGCGAAGCAGTGCAATCTGTAAATTATAATTGCAATCAATAAACAAAAAATTTAAAAATTTTGCTAACCATCTCTTCTTTGAGGTTTGCTTCTTTTTCCTCAGCCGTTATTGCCTTTTTGGGTTTTTTGGTTTTTTCCTTGAATATGTCGTTTCCATCAATGTAGTTGAAGGTATGCTCTTCCTCTTCAGAATCAAAGCTTTCGTCTTCCGAATCCTCATTTAAATTCGACACTTTCATAGATCCATCATTTATGGGGTGCATAGTCCTCGACTCTGTCAAATCCGTGGCTGTCTTTATTTTCTGCAAATTTTCCACGTCTATAAAAAAAA